GTAGTTCATTCTGGCCTAGCGTGAGATTGTATAATCTAATTCTAACTTGTGTTCTAATATTATGATTTTGTTGGTGGTGAATATAATTATTTTGATTTTTTAAAAAATTTTGTATTTATAATAAATCCAACAAAATGTGCATTGCACCACGATCCAAGTCATTTAATAGAAAATAATAGGTTAAAATACTAATTTAGTTCATTAAATTTTAGATTCATACTAAAATTATCTCTTAATTTAAAAAAAATCAAAATTATCTAAGAATTTTAATTTCTAATACTAAAAAAGTTCTTCTATTAGTAAAAATATCACAAAACTTGTTATTTTGTTACAAAATTAGTTCTTTTTTAAAATACTAATGACGTATAAAATCAAATAATTATATCTTATCATCGTGACATATATTTTATTTACATATTAGATTGATATATGATCAAAGTTAAAAACCTAAATTGATATTTGTAATCAAAGTTTAAGGACTCAATTGATACTTGTTTTCAAAGTTTAAGGATTAAATTAGTATTTTTAAAAGTTTGAGGACTATTTTGTATTAAAAATTAAAGTTTAAAAATAATTTTGATACTTTCTAAAGTTAAGGGATAATTTTAATATGAATTTCAAAGTTGAGGGACCAAATTAGTATTTTAACCAAAATAATAAGAAAAAAATAAAAACAGTGGAACACTAAGCGATTTTTTTTTTTTTTTTGATAAAGACAAGCAAAGCGATTTTGACATTAAAAGAACTCATTTTTACGGAGCAGGAAAAATGTGAAAGTCCAACCATATTCGGGGTAAAAAAAAAAAAAAAAAGGGAAATACTTTAATAAGCATACATGGCGGGGCAGCTCTTGCTCATCTAGAAACCACTTGAACGCAACAACAATTCTCCATAAAATCTACTAGCTCATTTGTGCTGGTTCTGCGTCCCTATATGGTCACTGTAACACACATAAAAACAGAGATGTCAACAGTCTCTTAAAAAAAAAAAGAGGTACAATGATCGTTTTACTCTCTTGAATTCAAGGAATGGGTATAAGAATCCATTTTAGTAATTTAGTTGAAAGAGATTATATAGTAATCTATCTGAGGTTGAGAAAACTTACTGGAAATTAAGAAGTGGCCCACAATCGAACGAAAGGCGAACGTATGGCCCACAATCGAACGAGAGTCGAACGCATGACCCACAATCGAACGAGAGTTGAACGCATGGCCCACAATAGAACGAAAGTCGCACGCGGAACTGTGGATGATGTTGACAGGAAAGACGTCGAATCGACCGATAGCAAGATGAGAAATAAAAAAAGTTAAAATATTAATTTAGTTTCTTAATTTTTAAATCTATATTAAAATTATTTTTTAATTTTAAAAAATATTAAAATTACTTTTAAATTTTAATTTTTGATATCAAAATAAATTTTAACTAATTTAATTCTTAAATTTTGAAGACATACACTAATTTAATCCTTAAATTTTAATTACAATTATTAATTTGATCTTTTTACATTGATTATGTATCAATTTGTTATATAATTGAAAATATATTATGATGATAAAATATAATTATTTAATTTTATGTGTCATTAATATTTTAAAAAATACTGGTTTTGTGTTAAAATAATAAATTATTTGACCTTTTTTTTAACTGAAGGACCTTTTTTGGTATTAGAAATTAAAATTTAAGAATAATTTTGATATTTTTTGAAGTTAAGGGCTAATTTTGGTAAAATCTAAAAGTTGAGGGACTAAATTAATATTTTAACCATTAAAAAGTGCAGAGCGAGTCGAACGATCCGCACGATGACGCGTTTTTTTATCGCTCGAGATCGAAACGTGAAGCTTTTGTCATTAGCAAAGTTCAATCTAAACAATCAATTATCAACAGACAACTTTTATGTGTAGTCAACTTTATCTTTCATATATAATTTGGTTCCGCCTCATGTTCTCAACCAAGAATCCTTGAGATAATATATTGAGAGAGGTAGCTCGATCATTTTACTACCGAGATATCAAATGAGGA